CGGGCGTGATAGGCCGGCTGACGTGGTGACGGGGAGGAGCGTGGGCGGACCAAGAAGCAGCGACGAGGGACATCGGCTTTGCCTCAGGTAAGTCACTGAAGGGGTTTTGACCCCTTCAGCAACCGGGGATGGGAGGTGGGAGGGAAAGGGGACCTGCAGTGCCATGAAAACGGATTGTTTTCCTGGCACTGGAGAGTCCCTTTAACACACCACACAGTATCTTTAAGGGATTTGTTCTGTGACTGAAACATGCCAACATAACAAAAAGTAACAGATATGCTTTAAAACCATAATTTCATGCCAATCTATCAAGACTATCTAGATAAAGTTTCTTTGTAACAAAATAAGTCTACAAGTAGACTTTAATTCTCACTTAAAATAATTTTAAATTGCAAGGCCCACGTAGCGAAACTAGAAAAAAAAAAAAATCTCCCAGCTATCCTGCCAGTTCAGCAATTTAGCTATTACTGATTACATTTGAAATCCACTTTAAACTCCCAACAAATTTCACTTTTGTAAATAACCTTGTATATTTCATATCTAGGCTATTAAGTATTCCGCGGTGGCAAGACTGCTTTAATTGGTTTTAAAATAAATGCTTGGTTTTAATTCCCCACAGAGTGCATAAATCCTTTATTTTTATACGGATTACGAGACCTTGTTTCCATTGCACCCCACTTCCTAAAGACTCTTTTTGAGAAGCATTGGATTGGCTGAGTCATCATCATTTGTGACTGAGGTGTGGGGTGTCCCTTTATCTAAACTGTAAAAGGAACTCTTCAAAGTTAAAAAGAAATGCAATTATTTTAAAAGCTGGAGTGTTTCTTTAAATGTTTGCTCCTGCTGACTTATACTATTGTATGGTTGAAAAAATATATATATATATATATATTCTTCATCATTCAGGATAGAAAGACACAGGCGGCTTTACTAAGTGGGAGGGTCAGCCAGCCACACTTATGCAGCTGAACTGACATGTCACGTGCTACTCATTGTTTACAAATGTGGTGGTTTCTATAATGCTTGTGTGCTAAGAGACAATTGTTTTCCAGTTTTTTTAAGTAGTCAGACATCGGTGTGTGCAGTCACATCACATGATACTGGACCCAACTATACAGTGCTTCAACTGAATCCTAACGCTACAGTGTTCCTTTCACTGGTCGTATTAAGGCACCCCTATTTAAATTAAAAATAAATAAATAAATAAAAGGTTTTACATATTTTTTTTTCCAGTACCGAGGCTCCCTTGAGTCTTCGTCAAAACATCATCGAGGAGGGAAGGCCTCCTCCTGTGTGGTCCAATCCAATGTTCCTCATAGACAAGCACTGGAAACCTAATGCATATGCATGGTGAGTGCCATACACACATTCAAGCTTCCACATAAAAAAGCATTGTATTGGGCTTTGAGTTTTACTCAGTCAGTGCAGAGGAGGTGCCACTAGTGGCTTTCATACTGACAGCCACTAGAGGTGGAGTTAACCTGTCAATGTAAACATTGCAGTTTCTAAAAAAAAATGGCAATGTTTTTTTTTTTTTAAATTTGACAATTTTTATTTTGTTCAACATAGTGTTCAATGAGAACTGGGTAATGGGGGGGGGGATACAGAAGAAAGAAAAAGGGGGGGGGGAGGTAAGCATCAATCAAGCATTTCCATCCAGCCGTCACACCAAGACGTTACATAGTTACGTATTTACCTATATGTTCATTCTCCTATCCGCTAGTCTAAGTAATAATACCTTTGTAGGTTTCTATTGACCTCGCTGCGCTTTGTCGAGTGTCCGCTATCCCTTGGCTTGGCCACTCATCATGTCTCCCTCCCAGATGCCCTGTGTCATAGGGGGGTGTGTGGTAGGCAGTTGTTATGGCGGGTGATTTCGTCTCCAGTTCTCCCATCTCTCCCAAGTAGCCAATGTTGTTACATTGGGAGGGCATACTGTATGGAATTGGTTCTCGTATATACTTTGGGTATCCATTTCTGCTAGTACTAATTCTAAAGGCGGAGTGGTGCGAGATTTCCATGCCCTTGCGATTACTCGTTGGGCTGTGAGTAGAAGGTGGTATATGAGTTTCTTTATATACTGGGGTGTCTTGGGGGGGATTGCAAGCAGGAGGTACGTGCTAGGATCGTACTTCGGCTCTTCTAGTGTGATTCCCCTGAGCACCTCCCGGATGGCTTTCCAGAAGGGTTGTATCAATGGGCAGCTCCACCAGACATGTAGTGTTGTGCCAATATGTTTGGTGCATCTCCAGCATTCTGGAGAGCTGGCTGGGTAAAGTTTGTGTAGTTTTTCAGGGACCAGGTACCACCTGTACACCAACTTCATATGTTGCTCTATGAGCGTCACTGATTTTATCAGTTTCCTGGGGGAGGTCACTAGGTCTTCCCACTGTGGTCTGGTGAGGTCTGTGAAAATGGCAATGTTTTAAAAGGACTGGCCATCTGCACCCTGGCTACATCATTGGGATGAAGTGCTCTGGGTGACTAAAGTGTCCCTTTAACCCCTTAAGGACCAAACTTCTGGAATAAAAGGGAATTATGACACTGTCATACATGTCATGTGTCCTTAAGGGGTTAAAGAGGTAAAGAAGCAATTGTAATCTGAAATTGTCTTTCCAAAAATACCATGCAAGTCTCCACCTTCTTGAGCAGCTCCTTTGTAGATATCTCCCTATAGTTGATAGCCATGTCTGTTGAGTGCCTAGCTACATATCCCATAAACTCACATTGAGTAGGGGTAAAGAATCGTAATAAAAAAAAAAAAAAATTAAAAAAAAAAGAAAGGAATGCCTGACAAGTGTCAACTACTTCCTGGTCTGAGCAGAGTTCATAGCAGGAAGTTGCAAATCCTGGGGATGTGCAACAAACCTCAGAACTTCAAAGATGAATATCTTTATGTATTTGTATTTTTTAATATGTTGTTTATTTAATGCATTATTAATGGGGTCAACAAAGCTTGAGTGTCCAATCCATCATAGAAAATTGTAGCATATTATATAACTATATAAAAACATAATATATACATCATTTCTGTAGACCATCCTAATAAAAATTGTGGAAAGGGGAAATCTTTTACAGCATTCCAACTGTCCAGTGATACCACAATTTCTTTGTCTTCATTTTGCCTTCCAGTTCGAAGCCTAATATATAATAACTATTTGTGAAACACCAAGTTCACATAAGTGAACTGGAATACTGCGCGTAACATAATTCCCCAAGGGCAGTAATCTCTAGGTTTTTTTTAGAATTCATCAATAATACAGAGATAGTTTTGGACCCCCGAGCCTATCTTCACATAGGTACATGGCATTAACCTCCAGATGACATGACTTCCAAGTTTTTATTTCCAAAATTAACAAATGAATGGCTATCAATGTAACAACAGGACAAAAATAAAACATGATAAGGAATCAAGAGGAAGTGATATATCTTGTGAGGGTAGCAAAGCCAAAGTAGAAATCTGAAGGAGATCCCTGGTAAAGTACATCTGCAGGAGGCTCAAGGGGCCTCTTCTCTCACCTGCTGTTTTTTCCCTTATCTCTCCAGCAAGTCCCCCACCCCCCCCCCCCATTTTTGTTTTTCAAAGCAGCCATTTTTCTATTAACTGCCATTATCCCTCACTCTTGGGTGGGAACTAAACCTAAAAGGTACAAGCCCCTCAATGGTTGACAGAGAAAATGCTTGATTTGCCCACTAGTCAAAGCAGCCTTAGTAAAAGTGCCACATACCTAGGACGGACGATGACTTATAATATAAGGTGGAATGCACCAAAGTCAGTTACAATATTTGTATAAAGTATTCTGGAATATAATACGGTAGTACCAAGTATCTAACCATATTCTGGAAGATAATACGGTAAAACCAATAAATTTTGTCCACAGTTGCAAATTAATGGAGCAGGGGGTTCCAAGTAAGGGCTGTGTGAGCATCATTTTAACAGTCTTGTAAGTTCAAGGTCAGCCATAAGAGCAATGAATGCATACTAAAAAAAATCTAATAAAAACACTTTTTTTTCTACTTCAGACAAAAAAAAAAAAAAAAAAAAGTTCAGAAATTATGATGACCCGAATATATATCTTTAAAATCATCCTGGACCTGCAAGATCAGACTGATTTAATTCAGGAAGATAAGTAATGCATCTGCTAGATCTCATTATGGAAATTCTTCGTAAACACAGTCCATCACCAATCTATATTATTGTAAAGATAGCCAATTCTGCTGAATATACAATGCCTTCCAATGAATCAGACCCATAAATAATTACTATTGTACATTTGTTTTCTGCGTAGATTGCGCACCATCCATAATGCAATTGTGTAAGAAATATGTTTGCTGTAGCACTAGGCTCTGACCTTGCTATACATTACATGCCTGCTTACATAAAACTGCAATTATTGTGAAAATTTAGAATGGATTAGATTTTGTTCCGTTTTTTTATTTTTCTGCACAACCAATTCAATTCAACAAAGGTTTTCTGTACTACAGTGACAGAATACTGTGAAATGCTTCCCAGGGGATGTGAAATTAAGTATCCACTAGAAACACGGAGGCAGAGAGAGAAAGACACAAACAGAAAGAAAATACATAATGTGATTGCAATACACGACTTGACAATGCCTATTTATGCAACACTGGATACACAGACATTCTAATGAATGCTCCAGCATTCACTGAAACTAGTTAATGAAGAATTTTAATACATGATATCAAAATTCTACAGCATTTAAACAATCTTTTTTTTCAATTATTTTTAGTCAGCAACCTTGAAGTAAAATAAGGATGTAAAAAATAAAATAAATCTACAATATTTTTCATATAGCTTCTCACATTCTTAAAGATGGATGCCTGCCCTGATACCTCTTAAAGTGGATGTTGTTCAAAAGCAGCAGACCAAGCAGTATAATGAAAAATGACTTTATATAACGTATACCTAATACAGAGAGAGAGAGAGAGATGCTTGCAGATCTTGCAATTGCTGTACACAAACCACTAGTCACTTACTTCAGCTGGGTTCTTGGGTTTGAAGAGAAGCTCGCATTGCTTGCTGCAAGAGGTGATGTCCCCCAGCTGAGAGTCAAAAGGGTCCCCCGCATAGGCTGCAGACACTATCACTATTAGGGAGAGAAGGAGGCTGAGGTCACAACTCCAATGCTCTGGAGATCCCATTCTGCTGTAGCTTTATATACAGGTCCAGGTGAAGATGCACTGAAGACAGGGAACAGCAAGCAATGTGCAATGTCAGAGCAGCCCTGACGTCATGTGCTCACTGAAAAGGACTATGGGAGAGAGAAGGAGGGGTGTACAATATGCACCAGTGTTTGTGCATTGCTCTTTGCTGGGATGCAACAGTTCAGGCTGTTATTCTGTCTCACTAACTTCCCTGTCAAGTGGAAACATTTTGTCAACACTGAATGATGGTTTTTTTGTGTGTTTGATTTATATGAGGAATATATGTAATCATTTTAATTGTCAACTTATTATTTATAATAGTAATGTATGTGTAGGTATTGGAAATCAGTCAGTATAGGGTTTATTTACTAAACAATGGCTTGCAGTAGATTGAAAACCTGGCTAAAAGTTTATTATGTTATGTGACGGGAACAAGTTGTCAAAGTTATCCTCTTCCTCAGTGCTTCCATTGATTTGCTCTAAAAACACCCTCACTGAGTCACTTTTATCTAGTTTAAAGGGACACTATAGTCACCTGAACAACTTTAGCTTAATGAAGCAGTTTTGGTGTATAGAACTTGCCCCTGCAGCCTCACTGCTCAATCCCCTGCCATTTAGGAGTTAAATCCCTTTGTTTATGAACCCTAGTCACACCTCCCTGCATGTGATTTGCACAGCCTTCCATAAACACTTCCTGTAAAGAGAGCCCTATTTAGGCTTTCTTTATGGCAAGTTCTGTTTAATTAAGATTTTCTTATCCCCTGCTATGTCAATAGCTTGCTAGACCCTGCAAGAGCCTCCTGTATGTGATTAAAATTCAATTTAGCGATTGAGATACAATTATTTAAGGTAAATTACATCTGTTTGAAAGTGAAACCAGTTTTTTTTTCATGCAGGCTCTGTCAATCATATCAAGGGGAGGTGTGGCTAGGGCTGCATAAACAGAAACAAAGTGATTTCACTCCTAAATGACAGTGAATTGAGCAGTGAAATTGCAGGGGAATCATCTATACACTAAAACTGCTTTATTTAGCTAAAGTAATTTAGGTGACTATAGTGTTCCTTTAATAATGTTTATAAAAGATACTGCATCAATGATAAGCCAGAATTTATAGACATCTGCAGCCGTCAGCTAAAATCACTGTAAAGAGGAACTTCAGTTCTCTGAAATTTATACCAATGAATAAAAAAATGTCAATCACATATAAGTTGAGCTAACCTTTTTTTTATGAAATACCCACTTTCTTTTAAATCTGTAATAAGTATTTAGCAAATTACATCACAAACCAATTCAAACAAGGCAAACATTATCCTGAAGAGGAGAAATATCGTTTTATTACTCCTCTGTAAACGTTCTCTATGCTGACTGCAGACACCGAGGACAGAATTTGTAACAATGATTGAAAGAGAGCAAATGGAGATTCCCAGTTGCAGAGGTTTGGATTTCTACATTTAATTTAATTTGGCATACCACAAAAACGCATGTTTAGTAAATAAAAGGTACGCAAACAAAATCTTACAAATCCTGAGAACACTGCGCAAAGTAACCAATTGTGCTCAATGTGTAGCTTAGAGGTTCTGGTTTAGGAGAAGTTTGACCAAAAATGGAGCTCTCTTCAGCACCAAAAGACCACCCTCACCTCAGCTGTACTGCTAATGCAGAATTGAAAAAGTATCTGTCATGGCAACAGACAACATAATCTTAGGGCACAGTGTAAGATTTCGTGTGCTTGTTATCCTTTAATGTGCAGCTTCCATCCCCCTTTCTCTTAAAGGGATTCTATCATGTTATGTCTGGTCACCCCCTCTGCATGGAAAGTCATAGATACAGGAACAGACTTATGTGATGGAAGGAGGGAGTAGCTTCTTAAGAACTTCTCGTAATGAAATAAAGAGAACATACAGCAAAATAGTGTGCAGTATCTCTGATGTAAGTGGGTAGAAGAGAAAATGAAAGCAAAAGGAAATGCACTTACAGTGTGTAGAGCTTAAGTAAGCGTTACTTTAATGCGCCTGGGAGGTACTAGGAGGTATCCCTACCTAGGGATATCTGATGTGTTCTTTAAGGGGAGGATGCCACTCATTAGGGTGCTCCCCTCCCAATGACCAACAGGAGGGATCTGAAACTCTGGTACCATGGACTGGTACCATGGATCTCCCAATGACCAACAGGAGGGATGGGAGCACACTGCACAGTGCTCCCCTCCTGCTGGTCACTACATGCGCAGGCAAACTGCAGTAGAGGAGCCTTTGTTCCCGGTTTGTCAGAGCATAGAACTTCCTGTAGGACCGGGCACAGGAAACAGAGAGTTCGCCGCCACCGCAGACTACTCAAGTGAGGCTGAGCAGGAACAAGAGGGGGGACAAAGAAGAATACAGGAGCAAGAGCAGGAACAAGAGGGGGGACAAAGGAGAATACAGGAGGAGAGGGCAGCTAAATAGGGCACTGGAGAGGAGGGGGTCTAAAGAGGGCACAGAAGAGGAGGGGGCAAAAGAAGGGCACAGGGGAGGGGGTTGAAGAAGGACACAGGAAAGGGGGTTAAAGAAGGGCACAGAAGGGGAGAAGTCAAAAGTAGGGCACAGGAGGAGAGGGGGCAAAAGAAGGGCACCAGAGGGAAGGAGGGAAAAGACACACATAGGGGCACAAAGAGGCACACAGAGGATATGAGGGGGGACCAAGAGACACTCAGATGAGCTGGGGAAAAGGAAAGGGAGTTGGGGAAGAAACAAATGCACAAAGGGGCAGGGGGGCAAAGAGACACATAGAAGGCTGGGGGAACAAAGCAGACGCACAGTGGGGCTGGGGAGAAAGAGACACATAGAGGGAAAGAAGAAACACACAAAGGGGAAGGCTAAAAAGAGACACAAAGCAGTTTGGGGAGAAACAGGTGCCTGCTGGGGAAGAAAGGGGGCCAGTCAGCCACAGCAGCCAGCAAGACTGCCTGCCAATCAGCCACAGGAGCCAGCTGGCCACAGCAGCCAGCCTGTCAGCTGCAGCAGCCTGCAATCAATAGTAGCCAGCCTGTCAGCTGCAGCAGCCTGCAAGCAACAGCAGCCAGCCAACAACAGTAATTAGGATGAGATGAGCCAACTTGGGCTGGGTATCAGAGAATGGGGGACAGAGTTTTAGAGAGACCCCTCTCCAGGGCCCATTATACTCCACTGTAGTCTTTAAAGCGGCACTGTCATGCCGAATTCTGTTTTTTTTTAACCCCTCTCCCGCCTCCACTACATCCAATTGACTCACTAGTCACCCCCAAATGCCCCTAAGCCCCCAGCATTACCTATTTTTTAATCCTTATTTTCTGCCCCGATCTATATTCAGGGCGCCGCCATCTTTGTGTGGGTAGATGAAGTCCCTGTGGGACACGTCATCAGCCCATACTAGGCAGACACTGAGATTCCCGCACATGCCCAGAGAAACACCCGGACATGCGAACGGGAATTTCAGCTATTCATTCATTCATCAGACAGACGAATGAGTGAATAGAAAGATCAGCCGAACAAACTAACACTATGTATCAGTGTTAGTTTGTTCGTTCAGTTTATTACAAGGAGGGAGCTAACGGCGTGCAGCTTCCTCCTTGTAATATGTAACTATTGAAGCGGCAGGGAGCAGTGCTCCCCACCACTTCATAAGCCCCCCCAGGTCCCCTTCTCACTCTATGGGGGTCAATATGACCCCCATAATAGCACAAGGGAGATAAAAATCTCCCAAATGCCCCTACTCGCTATACCGCGAGTAGGGGCATGTCCACTAAACAGTGAGCAGCCTGTGGCTGCTCACTGTAAAAAAAAACCAAACAAACAAAAACAAACAACTATTGGCCCCCACCCCTAAACAGTGAGAATGGCGGCGGCGGGTGGGGGCCATAATGAGAATGGGGGGGGACCTACTGCCCCCCCTGGCCCCCACCCCTGGGCGGCGGATGGGGGCCATGAAGATAATGAGGGGGGGGGACCTACTGTCCCCCCCCCGGCCCCCACCCCTGGGCGGCGGGTGGGGGCCATGAAGATAATGAGGGGGGAGGACCTACTGTCCTCCCCCCCCGGCCCCCACCCCTGGGCGGCGGGTGGGGGCCCTAAGTCAATTACCCCCCCCCAAGGTGGCTAGGGGTCCCCAAGCCCCTAGTCACCCACCCCCCACCCAAAAAAAAAACAAGTCCCTACCTACCCCCCTCACCCTAAAAAATAGTGAGGGGGGGATAAAATAACTAACCTGTAAAATAAAATTAAACTTACCATTCAACATCTTCTTTTTTCTCAAATCTTCTTTTTTCAGCCCCAAAAGAGGCCAAATAAAAAAACCATCATAACCGTCGAATTGAAAATAAAATAAAAATCCCAAGCACAAAAAAAAAAAC